TCAAACATTAATAATTTTGACACCCCACAATACCAAAATGGGCAACAAATGAGAAGAAATTTAAACAAGAAAAATTAACTAATTAAACAATCCATAACATTAAATAAATCAATCTCATAACTTAGAAATCTAAGGATATTGGAAGAAAAATGAAGAAAAACCGTAGAAATCACACACCCACGTACCTTGGAGAAGGAAGGATTAAAACACAAAGAGGAAGAAAATGAGACAACAACTGACGGCGTAGGTGGTGGCACTTTCACGTCGGAGAGGATGAAGATGGTCAACGACAACAATGGAGGAAGATTGAGAGATTTCTATCAATTTCATGTGCAAGTGGAGAAGAGAGGATACGTGAGAAGATGAATGGGCGAGAATGAAAAATGAACTTGCAAAACTGATTAAAAAAGGTAATAAATGATAGGTATTTTAATACCTGTTATTTATTTCCAAATACATGACGGGTGATTAAAACACTCATCATATATTAGTATGACTTTAAATGATGGGTGTTTTAAACACGCATCATTTAAAGTTCAAAATTTTTTATTTTTTTACCTTCTAGAAAATGAGACGTTAGGCAACAATAAATGATGGGTGGTACACCCGTCATTTATTGTCAGACCTAACACCCGTCATTTAAAGATTAATTTCTTTTTTTATTTTTATAAATTAAGAAATTGAAAGGTTTTTTATAACACCCATCATTTAAAGATTAATTTCTTTTTTTATTTTTATAAATTAAAAAATCAAAAGGTTTTTTACGTTTAAATGACGGGTGTTTTAAATATTCGTCATTTAAAGGTTTGACAATAAATGACAGGTGTTTAAATACCTGTCATTTACGACCTGATCATCACCGCTTCTCTCATATATGACATGTTTTTCTTTAACTGTTATTTTTTATGGCATCTTATATTTAAATTTTTGTAGTAGTAAATTATTTAATGGTGATATGACCCTCTCTCAAACCTTTCAACAAACATACAGTGTGCATCATTTTCTAATTCATTCAATGGGACTTCCTAACCCACACTCACTTCCCCAATATTTTTCAGCATCAGTAAAAAATTTATCATACTTTTTAAACTCAACTCTCATCAAGAATCAAATTTACTTCCAAAGAAAATCAACTCTAAATTCATCCTCTAGCAGTAACCAACATATCTAAGTGAAATTTTCTAGCAAAGATATGCTCTTAAACTCAAGTGTTTAGTTTGATCAGCGTTATTTGCTCCTTCCTACATGCACAACAACAGCCAAACAGCAGCCAAAATAAGAAAACACAACCCAGCCAAAACACACACACACATGGGATCATCGGCAAGGATGAAAGGAGAAGCAAAGTCCCTCACCTCAAAACATTAGTGGCAGAAGCAAAATGAAGAAGAAAGGAAGGGGACTCCGCAGCACTGAACAGGGAAAATGCTGAATAAGAAACCCAATGACAGCACCCACAGACAAAGGAACAACCAAGCTCTACTCAATACCGACGGCGCCGGTGAAGAAAGGAGGAAAGAAGATTTTCAGCACATCCACGACACTAGCTACGGTAGCAAATGAAGCTCACAAAAATGAAGGAGATGACGTAAGGCAGGGGAGAATAAAGCAGAGCAATTCAACGCATGCTCCCTCTCAGCTGCTTGGACGAAAATGAAAGGCAGCGACTGACACTCTAATGGCCGCCGTGATGAACGTGAAAGAAGGTAGAGAAGACGCAGAAAGTTTCAGTCCTTCTTTCTCTCTCACTCTCAGTCAAGATTGAAGTGAAGAAGGGGGGAGGAGCTGCTGATCTTTTCTACCCTCTGCATCTCCGTTTTTTTTCCCCCTAATAACAGAATGGTAAAATGGCAATTATGCTAAAGCAAAAATATTAACTATTTTTTATTGTTTAATTATTCATTCCTTCCTATTCCAATCTTCCTCATTTTGTTCCAGCATCTAATTAGAGTAATCTTCCTATATATTATACTTATTAAATAATATTATTTAATTAGTACAATATATGGCTAGAATGAAATAATAGCCAATACCATTTATTTTAATTAGAGTAATATACAATCATTTCCCTTCTATTTTGCTAAAATTACACAGATCTCCTCTTTATTTTGAAACTTGCACTTTAGTCCAATTTTAGTCTTGCTATAAAAATTTAATTAAAGATTTTAAAATTATTAATTTTAATTATAATAAAAAAACCCAAAAGTATTAATTTTTCCTTATAGTGTGTTTGTCTATTCCCCCCTCCCCCCAAATTAAGGAACTTTAAATAATTGTGACAATTTTAAAATAAGTCATTTATGAATTTTGTGTTCAAATTAATAAAATTTAAAGAAAAATAAGCACAAATTATATTGACTAATTTATTCTCATTATATATTACATCCCTATTTCATTAAGTTTTTTGTACATATGTGTTAAAAATATTATTTTAGATAACTTGTGTGTTTATATTTTAAGAAAATTATTAAATAAATAAGTTTGCAAACTAGCTAAAGAGTTTAAAATATGAATAAATGTTTAAAAATATATATGCATTAATTGTTTTTGGATATCTTGAATGATTGTTAGATAATATTTATATCTAAGAGAGTATTTTGATTCAATAAATAACTTAATAGTTAACTAACGATTGAGTGGATAGAAATAAAATTGTGAAAATAGAAGGAAAGTTTGCATTTTAAAGCTATTAATTCTAGAAAAGGTTTGTATATGTTTAAAAATTAGAAAGGATGTATTTTCAATTAAAGTAAATTAGAAGAGAAGTCAATGTAGTTTACTCTTTTAATTATTATAATATATATGTGAATGGAAAAATCAAATTAAAATTGATAATCTTTTCTAATCATCGTATATTGAAATTTTAATTTATCTAGCTTAAAATTTAAAATTTAAACTTAAAGTTTTTTTATTATTAACTACATTATATTGGAAATATAAAATGGCTCAATACATTGACTAATATTATTAATTTATCCTACTCAAATTATAGTATTACCATAATATTAAATACCTATGAAAGTTATGACTAATTTTGTGAAATCACTTTACCAAAGATATGTTTTAGTTATAATTTTTTATACATTTAATTGGCTGATATTTTTTTTCAATTTTAACTTATTTTGATTACGTATTTGAATATCAAATCACAATATTTACTAATTCAATAAATGATTGATTAAGTAAAAATATCATTAAATTAATTAATAATATTTTTAAGCAAATATGAGTATTTTCAAATTTCAAACTTCACACTAGAAACAATCAATATCTTACTATTTCAAGAATATTGGATTTTATGAAAGTTCATCAAATTCCAATATTTCACAATGATTTGAGTTTTAAATATTTAAATACAGATAAAGATGGACAAAAATAATTTATATTTTTAGAAGACATACATCTTGTAACCATTCTGTTTGTTTGCATACAGAAATATTTAAAAATTGAGTTTGAACATATTCACTAACCAACAGTCAAACTAGACTTACCAAAGCATAGAATCATGGGAAGAATACTAAAACAAAATCTTACTTTTATGCAAATCTGCCATGCAAAATAGACTCGAGGATGTTACACAAAACTACTTAAAGGATTAAATAGCAAACTTTTCCTTGAACTATACATCCAGAAATATCTGGTATTCTAAACTTATTTTTGGTGCAATGTTTTCTTTTAATTTTTGAAAAAAGTGCAATATCACCTGTAACACCCTGATTTTTAAATAAGAAATTAATGGTGAAAATGGAGATTTTAACTGAGAAATTCAAATATGTATTAATATTATTTTGAGGATTAATTAGGGATGTAAATGTGTATTCAAGGTGCAGTGAGGCTAACTGCATTTTTGGCCAATCAATCAATACTTAAATTGGGCTGGGAAGCATATTAGGGAACTAAATAAGATCCAAAATAGATAATTGGCCCACCTAATGCATGACTACGCGCAGATAAGCACAACACAGTGCTCGACAGTGCACCGACAGAGGACCAGAATGTCACTTAAGGGTCATCCGCACATGGACAGGTCTTTCCCTGTCCCAACCACTCCCAAACAAGCAAATTAAAAGGTATCTCTGGTCTGCATTTTAGTTAGAATGCGAGAGAGGGAGAAAGAAATCAGCAGAAGCTCCGGCAAGGCTCTGCTTAGGTAAGAGATTCCAGCAACTTAAGAGTAATTTTCGGCCGTGCAACCACTTGAGGTAAGTTTCTAGTCTTCCTCTCTACAATTCCATGTAACTTTTCTTGAGTTTGAAGAAGATTTCCATATTAGGGTTTCTATAAGGGTTGAGTAATCTGAAGTTGTAGTGATTTATTGTGTTTGAAGTTGTTAGGAGTCTATTAAATGCTTGGAACATCTCCTTAGGTTCGGCTTTCAAATCTAGAGATTTTGGTCGAAAACCAAAGCTCTTAATGTTTATTCTGAGGATTAATTTGAATTTTTGAAATGTTTCATGATGACTAGATGTTTATCTATGTGTGTGTGTGTGTGGAGTAATGTCATTTCCCGAAGAAGCAACACAATGATACCATTACAATGTTATATGTGTGTTACTGTCTTATTCTTTTTTTCTGGCCTGAACTGTGTTGTTCAATAAGCATCCATCCCTTATATTACATGTTTAAAAAGAAACAAAATATATTATAGTTAGTTGTTTTCTGGTATTAACTTTTTATTAACAAAAAATATATATATATTGATAACATAAATATACATGTTAATCTTTTTAATTAAATAGTCTTGAATTAATTATCATACAAATGATCTATTTGTATAAGTATGTATTTAATGTTTTTGTTACTCAAATTTGAACACAATATCAGTAAATAATAATTTAAATTTGTCAAACATTCAATTTTCAATGCATGTATTGTTTTTATTTTATAAAAACCTTATAATTATCTATCCTTTCTTTTTGCTTAAAACATCAATATCTAAAGACAGATGAAAACGTATCTATTATGTAAGCATTTTTAATTTATAAATTTATTTGAAAAATTAATTAAAATAAATATTTAAAACTTATATATGCATACATATTTATTTTATAAAAAATTGGGCCCGCCCTCTTTTACAAGTCTGGTTCCACCACTGATATAAACCTTCACATCATCACTGATTTCATGTGTTCTTACTATACTTTCCCAACCACACCCACTCACACACAGACTGTAACCATGACGGCAGAAAACTCTAAACACTCCAATGTTCCCAAGTATCTCCAGAAAGTCAAATTAACCCAAGAAAACAAGCAGCTCATTGCCACCTTACCTTGCGATGTGTTTGGTGAACCTTCATACACCTTCCATCAATATGATGGTTTTTGGCAAGCCACAAAAAACTTGCAAGGAATCCTCAGTAGCAAAAAACACTTCAAAGCTCATGACTCTAACATTCTTCTTGTCACCTTACCAAAATCTGGAACCACTTGGCTCAAAGCCCTAGCCTATGCGATACTTAATCGCAAGATCTATTATCCAACAAATTCAAATCTTGATGAGAAACAGTCTCATCCTTACCCTCTCCTCACTGCTAACCCTAATGATCTTGTACCCTTTTTAGAGATCAATCTCTACATCTATAAAAACATCCCCGATCTGAGCTTGTTCCCGTCACCGAGGCTCTTAGTAAGCCATATGCCTTACATTTCGTTGCCAAAATCAGTGCAGTTGTCTATGTATAAGATTGTGTACTTGTGTAGAAATCCTAATGATAAGTTCACGTCAACGTGGCACTTCCTCAAGCACCTACTACCACAAGGCCAACAGCCCAGGTTGGTTGAGGAAACATTTGAGGGCTTCTGCGAAGGAAGAATTCCTTTTGGCCCATTTTGGAATCACATTTTGGGATACTACAAGCAGAGTTTGGAAAGGCCAAATAAGGTAATGTTTTTGCCGTATGAAGAGTTGAAGATTGAGCCAGTAAGGATTCTGAAGAACTTAGCTGAATTTATAAGGCATGGATTTACTAAGGAGGAAGAAGATGGTAATGTAATTAATGATATAGTCAAGCTCTGTTGTTTTGAGAATTTGAGCAACTTGGAAGTGAATAAGATTGGAAAATTGTTGACTGGGGAAGAGAATAGCATTTACTTTAGACGTGGAGATGTTGGAGATGGAGAGAATTTTCTCACCTCTGACATGATTGAAAAGCTTAATTTTATTACTCAAGAGAAGCTGGAGAAAAATGGCTTGAACTTTCAGATTCACAAATCTTGATTGGAAACCTGATCGATCAAAAATGATGAGGTATGGGTAAACCTTTAATTTCAATTGGCAGTTTCTATCACTATTTAATATTCCTTAAAGTAGGGACCTTTCAGCTTTTCCATCTACAGAAGTTATTTTTTATTTTATTCTATTTTTTATTGTTATATTTCATCATTCTTATTAAACTATTTACGTATAAAACAAGCCATCAAACTTGTATAGCTTTGATTTTATCCAGGGTCTCTCTTTTGACTAAATTATAATTTTTTTTCCCATAATGCAGGTGGATACTTGAATTTCTTATCGATTTTCACTTTCTTCAATAAATTACAATTGTCTGCAGGGTTGTATATGTATGTTTGTGAAGTCTTAGATGACTTCATATGTTAAACTTATCTTCATGGAGGAATATTCACGAAGCGCAGAATGTGAATATGAAGTAGAAGCATTGCGAATTGCGATGCAATTGTATTCCCTCACGCTTAGGTATTATAAGTATCCTCTTGTGAAGTTCTGAGTGTGAGAATCCTCTATCTTGCGGGGCTTTTCTTCAAATATGTTGAAATAGATGCCTGTGTATTACTCGCGAAATTATCAGAATGGATATTTCTCTCCCTTTATTTTTATTATAAGAAACTATTAAAACTTCAAGACATTAATTAAGATTATTGTTGTAGTGTTGCTTTTTTTTTTTAGAATTTTTTGTCATTGTAGATAGCTTAAAAAACAAATTTCATGTAATAAAAATCTAAATAAATTATTATAATAAGATATATAAATAAAATAAATTAACGAAAGAAAACAAAAAACACGTGGTCCACGTCCCACGTCCAGGCCTCTGGATAAGATGAAAGTTGAAAGCAAATCACAAGAATCTTTTATTCATCAGAAAATGACAAAATTATAATGATAAAGATATATATGGAATGTTTACCATGTGGGTCATGAAAATTATAAATATAAAGTAATTGTTAGAATTTACAGATCCGCCCTTAATTGGAATCGGATCATAAGGAGAGTTGACTGGAATTAGGAATTAATGTGTAATTGATTTTTGATTGAATACTCCAAAACAAGAAGTGATTTCTCTACAATTATGATGATTATTCCAATCAATTATTCCCTCCATTATAAGGTAAATTAATATCGATTGGGTTTTTCTTTTTTATGGTGGCCTCCCCTTGCTATAAAATAGATATGGGTGGTTGAAAAAGAAATCACCCCTAAGCAAACAATTCTTTCTCAGGGTTAATTCTTCCTCTCCCTCTCTCCCTCTCTTTGTTGTATCTGCTGTGCATTTTAGTTTAGACTCTAATAGTCTAAACTTGTGTGGGTAGTCAAATAGAGTCTACTATGCTCGGATCTAGTAAGACTCTGACTCAACTCCATTATTTGGTATATTATTTATATTTGATATTCCTTCAGTGGCATTAGAGCTGCGTCATTTCTATGGTTGTGGTTATGGGCATATAGATAAATTTATTTTATTTTATCATTGCTCTATTTTTTTATTTTATGCTTGAATGTGCATCATGCATAAACTCTCCTTTCCTAGCCATTTGTTGATTAAGGGGTTTCCTTACCTTGATTTAGAACTTGGCCGACTTCTTAGCATGTTTTAATTCCACTACACTTATTATGAATCTTATTGTATTGTTGTTGAATGATGTTTGCATTTATGGCCTCTATTATATTTTCTTTTACTGTGTTTATGTTTTTCTAGGTTTTTCTATGTTTCTACATGTATTGGTTTTCACTACTTCTAGACTTTCTCTTCTTCCTCCCCATGTTCTTGTGAGTCAAAAAAAAAAACATTTTTTGAAAGTGTCCAAATCCTCCATTGAAGCCACTCTTTGAGAACCAATAGAGGAGGATTTTTCAAAATTTTAAGTTTCTAAAATCTAGATTTCTAGCTTGCAAAATTGGCATAGTTGTGTAAAGGGCGAAGGAACGGTTCCAACGAGATTGGAATCACATCAAACAGAGGCCGGATAGAGGAGAAAATGCAAAAAAATAATTGAAAACATTAAGTCTGCCTCTGGGTCCGATTGACCTTGTTGGAGGTTGAAGACAACCTCCAAGACACATCATTCAAACCCTTACATATTTTTGAATATATATTGGTATCCTATGCTTCATATATATTTGTACTTTGATTTTGATTTATGAAAGTTATAATTGAGTGATTTTATAGTTATAAAACTTGGGATCTTATTTTTATTACTTTTAATGTTTTTGAAACGATAAATATTTTCTAATGAGATGATAATCCATTTGGATTAGTCCCCTGATTACCCTAAAAGTTTTAGTTAAATAGTGGATTAGTAAAGGCAACCTTACAACTTGGATTCAAGGTCCCTAATCTAGATTTACTTCGATTAGATTCATATTCTTTCATACCCCTAATAGACTCTTTATAATACAACAAGCCTTGAAATTCCCATAAAACAGACATTGGATTTGTATTGATGTAACCTTTCCAAATATCATCCTGATATTAGGAGGGGTTAACTCAATCACCGTATTCTCAAACCAAATTATACTTAAAATTCATTTGAAAAGCTCGGGGCCCAAGACTTGATTTTCAAAGTCATCAAAATACTTAATATGTCAAAGCAATACACAGTGAAAACTAAATATATGTATTCATTACATTCATTGCATGCTTGAACATTGAAGAAATAAGGTCATATTATATGGCATGTGCTACGGCGTGTACCACATGCACTACGTTCAGCCCTTCTCTATGCCATGTGCCATGATGTAACACGCCATGCGCCACAGCACACATGATTCAAGCACTTTTTCCACATATGATGTTCGATCAAAGTGATTCAAGCACTCACACAAAGTTTATTTTATAAGCTATCTAATGAGATAGGTTTGGAAAAGATCTAATGGTTTGATTAAAATTTGGACACTCAAGTGTAAAAAGTTACTTTTTCTAAAAATTTAGTGCACTCAAGTGCTCCAATCGTTCACATTATCTCATCAAACCATTATAGGCCTTAAACCAAGTCCAAAAGGACCTATTACACCTAATTGACCACATTTTATATTATATACACACAGATCAAAATTTGGCCGTTCAACAGCCCATTACCATAAAGATAAACTTTTCCAAAACATCACCACAATACAGTATTTGAGCAAAAATCCATTTCATTCACCACACATTCACCATTAATGTGTTCAAAACATAATCACAACTAAATCTTAGCCCCTATTTCTCAATTCACCACATCTTTACACATATGGGCTAAGATTAATAAAAATCACTACAAAATTTAACAATTCACAACTATAAACATGCATGCAAGTCCTATAAGAAGAATGGTGTTAATTACACCAACTCGAAGATTTCACGGCAATAGCATAATTATGCTGATCCTAACTCTTTCCCCTTGCCCGGCTCACTACTGTGACTTGTAAAAATGTAACCATCGGGGTGAGATAAACTCTTCACTATCAATTATCACATGCAACCATAAGCAAGTATTGCATAGTATATAATTAAACATAGCATTTAACACAGACTTCACTTCAAATCGCATCAATATAGTATTTCACCACTTTTAACATGATTACTACCATCTGAACCTCCAAATCACCCCAACTCGAAACCATAGGATCGCCTTAAACTAATACACACTCTCATTGGTCCTAAGCACACCTTCAGTGGTTGAATCACTTGGCCAAAGGCGTTTTATCTCACCTCCTAACTATAATTTTCCCCAATATACACAATGGGGTGTCGTTAGCTCCAACACCACATCATAGATGTTAAGGGGCCCAAATCTCCAACACTGCACCTCAAAAAGTACTAAAGAGATATAATTTTTCAATACCGCGCCCCATCGAGTACTAAGAAAAATAATGTCATATGGTCTTTTACTACTTTTCCCTATAGGTGAACTCCTACCCCTTTGATTATGCTTTCATATAAACCACATTCTCATATACATTTAAAACCATATATACATATACATACATACATACATACATATAAATATATATATATTCTCAAAGCATGCATTTCATAAAGCTAATTCTCTAGAAATCATTTTCATGCATTTAACATTCATTTAGTAAATATGCTTATTCTAAAACCTTTTCATGCAATAATATTTATACTTTCAAATAGTTACAATAAATAATTGAATAGGGGAAGTTACTTAATTACCTTAACCCTTCTGTCAAAAGAAAGGTTACCTGTGGACTTTCACAATCACTAACAACATGCTACCAGCTTCTTTTCTAATTTTACCCGTGGAATATGCCAATCTACACATAATTGGCACAATTTGTTAATTAACTACTTTGACCAAAAGCACTAAATTGTTGCTTAAAGCCAATTTTATCCGTTCATTCTTCTCCATTTAGCCATTATAGGTTTACTATCCCTCAATTACCACTTTTCATCACTTCTAACAATCCCATCTCACTTCTACTCAATTTCCACCCCTTTTTCTCTTCCCATTTAGAGGTAACTTGAGCCTATAGCTTCAATGCTTTATCGTTAAACTTCAAACTAGTCACAAAGCTTTAATTTAACTTCCAAGAACCTTTTTATTACTATACGGTAAGAAACTAATCTCTTAAATTTTTTCAGTTCAATTTCTCTATCACTACTGCAGGAAAGACTTTTAACAATGGTTATTTTAGACTCTTTACTTAGGTTATTAGGGGAAAGTAAAAAAGAGGGAAGTGAAAAGTTTACTTTCTGCATTGGTTATTGTGAAAACAGTTGTGGAAAGTTAACTTTTCACAACAGTTTTGTCACACCTAAAGAATAAGGTGTGATTGACACAGGACATTTAACAATCCTCAACCCCTATGCTATCTTAGACTAGGCTTGTCCACCTCACGATGGCCCAAACCAGCTTTCCTCATGGTAATCCATGAGTTATCCCTCAACCCCTTGGTATCTTGGGACCTTCTAAGATTCGATCCTCCAACCTCTTCCTACATAGCGAAGCTGATGCTGAATCTCGTGCCATTGACGAAGTTGAGCCTGCTTCAATAGTACGAGATTCAGCCTCAGCTTCGCTATGTAAGAGGAGGTTGGAGGATTGAATCTCGAAAGGTCCTAAGATACCAAGGGGTTAAGGGATAACTCGTGAATTACCACAAGGAAAGCTGGTTTGTGCCGCCATGAGGTGGACAGGCCCAGTCCAAGATAGCACAGGGGTTGAGGACTGTTACATAAAAGGGCACCTTTTATGTAACAGTCCTCAACCCTTGTGGCATCTTGGACTGGAGCCCAAACTACTCACATGGTCGGCCTAACTTTTTCCTTGGTAGTTCACAGATTATCCCTCAAGCCATGTGCTATCTTAAGACCTCCCGAGATTTGATCCTCCAACCTCCTCCTACTTAGTAAAGTTGAGGTTGAATCTCGTACCATTAAGTCAATACCAAACTATAACGTCCTTGAGTCTGAACTATAAAGTCCCATCTCAACCCGTGCTTTACCATTCCACCACACAATCAACAAATACAAAATCAGAGTAATAGCCCTTTATTTGTTTTCAAAATCATGAGATCTCGACTTCTCAAAACATATATTCAAATAAG